TGTCCCGTCCAAAAGCCAGTGCGAGTTCGCTTTGCCGCTACCAGGAACGAGAGCCTAGGTTGCGTCCTTATCGACGGCACTTTCGTTTTTTTATTACTGGCGCTACACTTTTCATCTCCAGTGTTACTTGCAAGCGCAATAGCACACAAGTTCGATCCCGGGCTTCGCCATCGAAGGCGGATGCTGCTCAAAAAAGGTTCCAATCGGAGCTAGAGCGCAATAGTCAGTATGAGTCCGAGAATAGCTCATGACCCTTGAAATGAAACCGTTCAAGACTCATGACTACCGCAATAGACGAGTTAGTGACCAAGCCGAGATGTTAGTATCGCGTGATAATGTATCGCGTAGCCAATGTCATGCCAACAAACATCATCCTCTCATAGATAATGCATTACCTACAAAAAAAACTACTGCTTGACAATGGAATACTCTTCCAAAACGAACAGAAAGTACAGCGACAATCAATCATACACTGAGGCCTCCTCATGGGGCGGGCCGCCAATGCCGCTCGCTCGGATTAGCCCGGTGTCATACTCTACGATCTGGCTATTCTAGTAGCGAGTCCGCGGAGTTGTTGGAATCTGCAAATTGATAATCCGTGAATTCATTAGCGAATCTCTAGATTCGCAAAGTCTGACACCATAAAAAGTGCACTCTGAACTCATGTCGGTTATCCAGGAAAATGATTTTCAATTAAGTCGGTAATCCGAAGGTAGTGATGCCTTTACATGATGTGCATGAAGTTACTCCTCCAAATAGTGAATGAAATCCATTTAACCCTTTCGGACCTGAATTTTTCCCCGTGGAGAAATTTTTCTTCTAGCTATTGTTTATTACTTGTGAGCATATAGGTATCATTATGGCGAAATTTGGAAGCTATTCGATCACAAACAAAGAAACTAAGAAGCTTTGAAAATTGGCCCACCTTCTTAGTTTTTAAGCTTATGTCGAAACAATTCCAAATTTCATAGTTATGCCGAAAAAGTTTATAATCTTGCATAACATTATAACCCATAATTTTGATTTAGGAATGGATCTACTTCAAGTATTTTAAGAAAAAGTCACACTTACTTGGCCGGTTGCGGGGGTCAGCGCCGATTCATTGTTGCACTTGTACACAAATACTTGTAATACTAACAGCAACACACAATGAAATGGCAGGTTTAGCTCATAATTAGGAAGGGGAAGGTTGACTGAAGCAACCTCTAGCAGGATTAGAAAAACCATGCTGTTTCAGCGGCAATGCAAGCGTTTGAATTTGGTGGTGGCAATTGCCACCGCCAGGGCCGAAAGGGTTAAATTGTTGTTGGTCCCTTCACGGTTTCAAGATCGGTCTGAGGATCGGAATTAGTTATGATACGTAGTCCACCTTGCGATTACATGATGACCTGTATTATCTCAAATAGTGTTATATGCAGATCGTCTAATTGAGTTATTAAGAAATTGTATAAATTTTTCAGGTTTCAAAAAAGATCGATTCTGTTAAAACATTCGATGAAGGTTACCTAACAGATCGTAAATAATTCAGGCGAAGAAAACCGCATATCGTTTCGAATTTTTTTTTGCGTTTAGGTTGGCGATAGCCGCTTGGTCATCTGGCACTGGTGGAGCAGGCCTGATTGGATCGTTCTCCTACGCGCTTCTCACCGAGCCGTCGATGGGGAATTTACAGCCCAAAGTCGCTCTTCTCATTCAGCTATTTATTCCTATGGTTTTTATGCTCACGTAAGCATTTAAAAACTTTCCAGAAAAAGCTATTTACCAGTTAGGGAATAACTGACATAAGTTTTCCAAACATAGCGGTGAGGGTAAAAAGCCCAAAAAAGCCTGAAATTGGATGCCGCCAGCTATTATACCCACTGTTGCGCAGCCAAATCTCACGTTTCTAAGTTGAACTAACTGAGCTACGAAATTGTGCTCCAAACATTTCACACTCTAAACCTATTGCCTAACGAGTGTCACTATTCTAACCATGTGGAAGCATTACTTGGAGAGATTGAGCATTGAAACCCAACATATTGATAAAGCGACCTTCGCCGAGTTCTTAGCTCACAAAACTCCAGCACTTTCAACATCCGGACCAGCTGAACACATTCTTGTAGGCAAAGTATGGGGATTGTAATAGTTTTTATTTCGAGCAAAGACGCTTTGTTTGAACCGAGATATGCGCTTTTGAATTTGAGGGTCAAAATCGGCGGAAACTTTCCAAACGACCCTACTATCAGCGCTTTTCACATTGACAAAACCGTAATTGACAAGTTTGAATTTTTGGTGGTTAATATCCGGAAGGTGAAAGGGTTATGCCGTGACTTATTTTGTTATAGACAACAGAAGCAGATTTATTTACAGCTTTTTTACAGATCAATTTTTCGTTGTTCTCAATCGACTACCAATTTAGGTACTTCTTCTTACTAGTCACCCCTGATGACGTCCACACACCTGGCTGGCATCCAAAAACGTGGCTTGTACCAGTGGAGCTTCCTCCAGAGGTTACTTTATTTTTTACATTATTTTTAACCATTCCTTGACTAACCCACGTACGGGCGCTTGAGAAATGCCAGCTATTGGTCGTGACCGCTGTAAATTATTGAATGTCAGCTATTGGTCCTGACCGCTGTCTCTATGACTGTTGAACATTTATCCTCCTCACGTCGGTCAGACATTCGCTCACTGCCTACATAACAATACCGTCCATTATGCGAGAGGTGGTCAACAAGCTTTCAGATTCAGATTGCTTGGGTCAACAAGTTTTCCGATTCTGACTGCTTGGGTCTGGGTCTTACGCCCTGGGTTCGTGTTTAGATCAAAGAGGCATCTACTTTGGCCCGCCCGGGAATAACCTATGTTAGTTGCGTTGCCCAGACCGACCACGCTCTCCCTCGTTATCAACCTCTTACACGATATGAGATGTTGCATCAATCCATTATTCTCATTAATGTGTAGTTAGTGAGAGCTTCTCATTCACATTCGTTTTCAAGGGTCACCAATGCTGCTGACAAATTCATTATTTCCCACGGACACATCCTATATATTGTTGTTAGGTCGCTAATCCAGGCTTGTGTTGAAATAAGAGCAATAGCAAATAAAGAAGAAAGTGAACCATTTTTTGAATCTCGATGAAGCTATGAATTTCGAAATTATTGGGCTGCGACATAAGTATTTGTCGCATTTCTTAAAATCATGCAAATCTGCTGAAATATTTTATGCTGTAATCCGATAAGGTGGGCGAAGGGCCTTTCTAAAAGCTGCCTGTGCTCGCGACTGCTCAATAGCAGAATCGGCTGGACTCATAATTCATATTGCATGAAACCAATTCCTGTGTATGCCGGCATGTAAGAAAGCATTGGATCATCAGTTCGGAAAACTCGAG